TCCGACAAGTGATTCTGTAGAATCAGCTGATAGCTGTCCCTCGGCATTTGAAGAGGAGCTCACCGATTGGGGAGAATCTTCCACTTCTTTGGATCTCTGAGGCACCTGTATTCTGTGAGGAAACACATCTCTCTCTGGGATCGCGGTCTGATGGTCTGCGATTTGAAACAGCACTGCTGACTCAGCAAAAGCTGCCCTTACTTCCTCCTCCCGGCTCCAAGGCTCTCCCACGAAACACATCGACATTCCACGTTCAGGGGCAACAGATGGTTCAGGGAGAAACATTTCTTCTGACGGAATGAGAGCCTGAACACCATCCTGGATAAAAAGAGACTCTTGTGATGGTTCGGAATCCTCACTCAGCCGAGTAACAGCCTGCACTTTCTCAGTCAAACCTTCTGCTTCAGGAAAATCGGGCACAGCTTTCCCTGGGCCACCAGTCTGCTCATGTTCCTGCAGTTTCAGTCTTTCCCAATCCAATGAATACACATTGCTGCAGGTAATGGTCTGCTCTGCTCCAGTTACAGACCTTCCATCAGGCAGAGTGAGGTCTTCAATTTGTACACTGATGGGTAACTGGTCAGAACCCTCTCTCGGGAGGCCATATGCCTCATCCATATCAGCCTTTGCTCCTGTTTTGGAAGGAGCAGATACCTCTCCCCCAGGCCCCCTTGTCGGTGTCTGTTCCCTCCATATCAGTTCTTCCACGCTCACGGAATCTTTCAAACTGCTGGGATCAGTCTGATCTGTTCCAATCAGAGACTCCTCCTCAGACACAGTGAGGTCTTCACCCAATTTTCCAACACTCATACTCTCTTGGATCTCCTCAGCTTGGCCCTCAGTCGCTCTCACCAAACACACAGTATCCTGAGCTATTGCAATCTCAGTTTGTTTCTCCCCACTCGGTGGTTCTGTCACTGCTCCAGGAGAGATATCACTCACTAGGCCGTCAGCCTGACCTCTCTCACTCAGATACTCTCCTGATTGGGCTGCTGAAACCTCCATGACTGGGCTGTCACCCTGGAGTTGTCCACTCAGACTCATTGTCATCAAAGGGGCAGAGGACCCTGTGGTCATCCTGTCGCTATGTTCTCCCTCCCTCGGACATTCTGTAGAGTCCATTCCATGTGGGCCCAATGTCTGCACTTTCCCTGATTGAAGCTCTGTCTCTGATAGAGAAATACTCTCTGACTCAAGAACGTTCAGCTCTTTCTCCCTCAAACACTCTCTTCCACATTGAGCTGAATCTTCTGTTGTCAGGTCAGCACAGGTTTCCTCTTCACTGGAAGAGGCTGGGAATAATGGCCCAGAATCCTCTCCTGGGAGGTCACTAACGTCAATGTCTCTACTCAGGACCAGTTCTGAGAACTGACCAGAACTATCCTTTGTTTGATAGTCAGGTCTGTCTTCTCTAACTGGAGATGATGTTGATAATTGTGTCGGATCTTGTCTTGATTCAT